GGTACATCATCGATGATATCACTGTGAGGGTGAGAAGGAAAATTTGGTGAGCTGTCAGTCGATACAAAACTATGCCGTGTTTTCATTAAAATGTTACTATTCATATAGGTACAGTATTTGTATAAAAACAAAACATGGATTCTAATTACTGTTAAATGAAATGAAAACTGAAAAAAAAAACTCAGCATTTTATTTCGTAACATGCAACGCAATGTTCCATTTCTGAAATGTTGCTTTTGTGAAATTTTCAATTTGCACCTGTAAAACATTCAACACCTGAAAAACTTTCGGATTTTGGATAAGTTTTCAGATTTTGGATAAGTTTTCGGATTTTGGATAAGTTTGGATAAGATTTTGATAAAGAATATTCAACCTGTATTTAATTGATGTTGCCTATAAGTTCTACTGCAAGAAATGGTGTGTGAGTGTGAGTATGCGTGCGTGTGTTTTTTTTGGGTGTGTGTATATATATGTGTGTGTGTGTGTGTGTTTTTTGTGTGTGTGTGTGTATATATATATATATATATATATATATGTGTGTGTGTGTGTGTGTGTGTGTGTGTGTGGCATCCCTCGGTTTCGCGAAATCTTGGATCTACGCCCAAAGAGTTATGCCTCAGCTGCTGATGGATGTGCAGCATCTGATATGAAAATTAAAAATCAAAGAACTTATCACAGCTAATTATACTGAACAAGATGGTTTTAAACTTCCTAAAACAGTCGGGGATTATAGGCGTAGTTACACATATATGGCACTGTAAAAACCCACAAACAAAACTATCCTCTTAGTCCTATTATATCTCAAATTTCCACATCTGTGTATTAATTAACAAAAATCATAAACCAGCTTATCGCACCATACATTCCCAGCAAATATAGCATAAATTCAACTCTTGAAGTAATTCAAATTCTAAAAATGAAAAACCTAACAAGGAAACTATAGCCTCACTTGATGTTGAAAATTTATTCATTAATGTCTCAGCAAAACTATTGATTTTATTATAAGAAACATGTACAATAATCCTTTTCTACTGGTACTCAAAATTAAACCGAGTATATTACGAAAACTACTGTTAACTCGTACTACTGAAGTCCAATTCTACAATCGCAAAAATAATATATATGTATAACGGATTGGTGTTTCTATGGGTTCACTCTTGGGCCCAACTTTTAGTAATTTCTCTATGTCTAGTCTTGCAAATAATATATTTAATAAATTTAAAAACCCTTCACCTACCTAAGATATGTCGATGATATCCTTATCTTAATCAAGTATATGGATGAAATATATCAACTACAAAAATAATTCCAAAATAATTCTGTCCTTAAATTTACATACAAACTTAATAGTAATAAAATGTCTTTTATAGATATATTGATAAACACTAATAATAATAAATTCACTATCCCCCCATATAAAATCCTACTAGCATAAATTCGTGTACTCTTGACTATAAGAGTGAATGTCCATATTGCTATCAATTAGCAATTATAAACCCTAATAAACTGCAAAAATTAATTAATCTACAAAACAGGTTTTCTACAGTGAATTAAAAAATATAAAACAAACTATTATTATTAATAATTTCCCTAATTAGGTTGTTGATGAACAAATAAGATGTCCTATTAGAAATATTAATATAAAGCAAATATAATATTTACTTAAACCTAAATACATTAATCATTTATATCACAATCAAATATATTCTAATTATAAACAGGATATAAAATATATTAAAAATACTAATAAATACTAGTAAATACCACCACAGATCTCAGTAAAAACAAAATTAATTATATACTATACAAAATCCAATATATCCAATTTAATCATTCGTAATGACTCCTCCCCTCCAACTAACATGTTGCAGAAAACCAATATGATACAGCTAACTCCTCTCGATATAATGCCTGTTCACATTCTCAATTTAGGAAAATTCTTGTTGAAAATAAATCTAAACTTTTTCATAAAAATAATAAACATAAAATAAAAATTCTCTATTAAAAAATTGAAACCAACCCTTAATAAATTTAGTTATGAATACTGCGGGAATGTTTTAAAATGTTTAAAGTAGATGATTTAAAATATCGATTTTTAACTAATAGTTTTAAATAGATTTTTTTCTTTTTAGAAATATTTAAACATTACAATAAGTTAGTTACCTCCCTTGAGCCTACACGTGAGCCTACATGATAGAATTGTACATTACATAACCTTAGTGTTTTTCATTTCGCACGTAAAAAATTAATTTTCAGATGAACGCAAAAATTTCATCTTAGAAAAATGATGAACACAACAATTTTTTGCCTTAGAAAAAACAAGACCCTGATGACGACGTTGTGCTAATGCCGATAATACTCGGAATAAAATGAATATGTATCAACATTGTAATTTTCTTTCTTCGTTTAATAAGGATATTAAGAAACTTGTCCATAATTGACTGGAATTCGAACTTGGTCCTCTGATATCTCATTCAGTGCCTCTATGAATGAATGAAGACAGAGACAGAGCCGAAAGAGAGATAGTTTTACTGTTTTGAGGTTTACACTCCTTTACCCCCTGTTCTTTTAAAATGGGTGAAGCTCTATTTAACATAGGAAGATATGTAGGTAGATATAATTAATAATTGAAATAATATAGTTTTTATTAAACCCGATAGATTTTAATTGATAGAAATCATCTCATCAAAGTTTAAAACCATTGGATGAGTTCCCGTGATGCAATTTTCAGAATGCTAATCTCGAAAGCCGTTGCAACTAAAATGCGTCTCATGGGACCTGTGTGTTTTATATTCATCACTACCCCTTCTTCTTTATGTGCCTTGTTCCTTCGTGGGCGATCACGGCTCTCCACAATTTCTTGTCCTTTGTAACTCTTAATAAACTTTGTCTTTCTGTTATTTCTCCTAGGCTGTGTTCCGCCATCTATTTACTGAAGCTTACTAATTATGTTATGTGTTGTTTTCCTCTATCCCTCTTGCTTTCAATCTGTCCTGTGAGTATCAGATTTTCCAAGCCTTTCTTCCTCACTATTTGCCCCAGAAACGTCAACTGTCTCTTCCTGGTGTTAAGTATTCGTTTCCTTTTTGTTTCCATTTTCTCCAAAACTTCGTCGTTGCTCACATGTTCGATCCACGTTATCCTCAGCATCCTTCTGTAGAACAACATTTCTGTTGCTTCAAGTCTCCTCTTCATCTTTGAGAAAATTGTCCAGCACTCATCACCATACATGAGGACAGATATCCCATAATAGTTTAGTACTCTTTTCCTGGTTTCTAGTTATTGTTTTTTATTCCTTAATACTCTGCTTAGTTTTTGGAATGTTTCCTTGGCTATCCCAATAGGCTTTCAGAAGTGTCACACTTTCCGTCCTTACAGCTTACATACAGTCATCCCAAGGCATGATCTATGAATTTTTTACAATGATGTTCAGGCTGTAAAAGGCCCAAGAACCCCTCAAGGTAGAGTGTTACAGAGTAAAAGGCACCGCCGCAAGCAAGGTGGTAATGCGACCAAGTGATAAGGGGCCACCAGAAGTGGGAAAAAAGAGAAAAAGACTTTAAAGGGAACCAAAAACACAATCCTAAATAGGAAACAGGGAACAAGCTTCTAATCCTATTCAAAAGATTGGGGAGGAGTATGAACCGGACGATAGGAAAACCTAGTCAATCCAGCAGGTAGAAATGTTTAACAATCTTGGAAGTCTCGTAACCGACGACAGAAAACATTAATTTCTTAGTTGACACGACCATTACGCTCTGCCAGCCCCTCATAAATAATGGACTATTCCGTTTTGATTACGTGGAAAGACAAAAGACATATCAGAGATCCTACTTGGTTTCAGTGAAAGAAAGAAAGAGTGTTTAATGTCACCTGCTAATATCTCATGAATAATGGACTATTCCGTTTTGATCGCGTGAGAAGATAAAAGACATATCAGAGTCCAAACTTGGTTTCAGTGAAATAAATAAATAAAGGAAGGAAGGAAGGAAATAAGAAAGAAAGAAAGAAAGAAGTGTTTAAAGTCTCCTGCTAATACCTCGTTAATAATGGACTATTCCATTTTGATCGCGTGGAAAGGCAAAAGACATATCAGAGACGCTACTTAGTTTCAGTTAGCAAATGAATCAGAGAAAGGAAAACACAGGTGTTTAAGTGAATGAAATGGAAAAGTTGTCAATTTCAAATCTTTTCATTTGTACCCCCTTACTTCTTAAAAATAACGACTCGCCAAGTGCTTATTCTATCATCAACTGAAGAATTATGATTCATCAGAAATTTGAAATAGGAAAACTGTAAAATTTCCACGGGTAAAAACTAGTTTAATTCGAGAGAAACAAAGGAAAGAGGGCTAAACTTCTACGTCATGTTAATCCACCTAGATAATATTGAACACTTGACAATTGAGAAGCAACAGTGATTCTATCGATGAAAGCTAATACCATGGACTGAACATGTGAACAATAAGGAAGTTTTAAGGAAATAGGGACAACAAGTATACTTAGAATCAGAAAGAAAGATGAAATTTCCTGGACATAACAAAAACTGTAGGCCTAGAGAATTTAATACTCACAAGACAGGGCTATTTAAGCGGCAGGGAAAACGTGTAGCCTACTTAACGTGTTTGTGTGGATATACGCCGGAAGAGAGACAATGAGGTAAAGTAAAGTAAAGGCAGAAGTTGTGGAGAGCCATGATCACCTGCGTCCTGAAAGTACATGTGCGAAACGAGGAAGATTTAAAGAAATTGGGAACGAAAATGATGCTTATACTTACAATCAGAAAGAGACTGTTGAAATTTCTGGGACACATTATGAGGAAAGAGGGTTTGGAGAATTTAACACTCACAGGGAAAGGTATTGAAGGAAAGAGGGACAGAGAGAAAATTTAAAAAAAAACGAATGAGTTTATATAATTCAATAGCAGAGTGGGGAATAGAAAGGTCGGTAAGGGAATAAACGTCGGCTAGAGTTACAAAAGGTAGGAAGTTGTGGAGAGCCATGATCCCCATATTACAAGCTATCTCTTTCTTTTCTCTATTTTCACTGGATCTCGTCTGCTTTTCGTTTTTTATACGCACGCATATTTCCTTTCTCTCTCTGTCAATTTGTCTGTTCCCCCCCTCTCTCTTATACTGTCTCGACATTTTTCTTTGTCGGCAGTCGTTCTGATTAAAAGTCTCTTTTGATCCTTTTGACGAAGCATTTTATAATCAGAGACTACAGTTAATTCATCCACACTGACTGGTTGTTTGCTTTTATTCCATACTGCCATTTTTTAGTCTTCAACAAATTTCGATTTCATTCAAACCTCTCTACCCGGACCCAAATCATTTTACCAATTTTTTATTGTCTTTTTTCTTTTTCGCGTTAGGGTCTATGGGTGTGTTTCAAAGACCTCTTAAAGACTAAATGAACGTTTTACGTTTCCATTTTATCAATTCCATCGATCTTTTATTCGTTTCATTCCTGCTTTAATTTTTCTTCATGCAAGAACAATTCGCTCGGATATTTTTCCTGATTTTCGCTCTTACTCCATTCTTTCTTTCAGTATTTATTCTTTTCTTTCAGTATTTCTTTCTTTACTTCTTTCTTTATTTTTCTTTCTTTTTGTTATGGGACCTTACCCATAATAACGTAATGGAATAGCCCATACGTAATAAATACTGCAACTCAAGAGGAAGCAGGGAATTCAGAGTTCCGTCTGAAGTCTGGAGTGAGGTTTGAAGTCTGGAGTGAGGTCCGACAGGAGTCTGTCAGTCAGTCATAGCTAGTCTGGGAGTTCAGTCTGAAGTCTGGAGTGAGGTCCGTCAGGAGTCTGTCAGTCAGTCAGAGCTAGTCTGGGAGTTCAGTCTGAAGTCTGGAGTTAGGTCCGTCGGGAGTCTGTCAGTCAGTCAGAGCTAGTCTAGGAGTTCAGTCTGAAGTCTGGAGTTAGGTCCGTCGGGAGTCTGTCAGTCAGTCAGAGCTAGTCTAGGAGTTCAGTCTGAAGTCTGGAGTGAGGTCCGTCAGGAGTCTGTCAGTCACTCAGAGCTAGTCTGGAGTTCAGTCTGAAGTCTGGAGTGAGGTCCGTCAGGAGTCTGTCAGTCAGTCAGAGCGAGTCAGTCAGTCGAGTCAGAGGCAGTCCAAACAGAGTCGCGTTCAGACATTACTAGTAAACCTGATTTTTCGTACTAACACTTTCTACTTCTCTGTATATATTCCTGTTTGTAATATATCTGTGTTGTTCCATATCCGTGTTCGAGTTCTTCTTTATTGGTTCTACCTTGGACTATCCGTGGTACAAGGAACCGGACCATAACACTTTTTGTTTCTTTCTTTCCTTCCTTTTCTTTCTTTCGATCTTTCTTTTTTCTACTTTTTTTTTTATCTTTTTTTCATAGTTTTTCAGTATTATTTTCACTTTTCTTTCTTTCCTTCTTTCTTAATTTTTCCTTTTTTTTTCCTTAATTTCTTTCTTTCTTCTTCTTTCAATCTTTCTTTCTATCCTACTTCTCTTTTTTCTCTTTCATAGTTTTTCAGTATTTCTTTCTTTCCCTCTTTATTTTTTCTTTCTTTCTTTTTTGTCTGTGATTCTTTCTTTTTTCCTTCTTTTACTCTTCCTTTTTTTCTTTTTCTCTTTTTCTCTTTCTTTCATAGTTCTTCCAACCTTTCACTCTCTTTTCCTTTTTTCCTCGTCCTTCTGTTTTCCTCTTTTCTTTCGTTTCTTATTCTTTCACTGAGTCTTTCTTTCTATTTCCTTCTCCTTTCTTTCTTTGTTTCCCCATTTTTGCCATTCGTCTGTAATTCCATCCCTTCCATTTTAATACAAACGCTCAGGCAATTCAAGCCTCGAGAGCCACTCAAGATAAAAAGATTACTATTGAACTGGTAATGGTGTGAGATATGAAGGAAAGTGAAGATCTTGAGGATAAGAAGGGCAGATAACCTTGTGATTCTTGAAGAGTTTAAGCGCGTAGTGTTCAGAAAAGCACGCACATGAATGTTTGTTCCATAAAATGGCAGTTCTTAGGGTGGCTTTCTCCTTACATTTAGGATGCGGGTGAAATGTCGGTGATTCGAAGTGAAGCATGGTTTATCCTAGCAGTCAAAACACCAGTTCTCGTACGTTCACCATAGTTAAGCAACGTCGAGCCTAGTCATTACCTAGATAGGTGACCGCTTATGAATAACAGGTGCTTTAAGCTTGAATGTGGGGGTAAGGTAAGATCATGGCTCGGAATTGTAAATCAGAGAACCGAGTTCCAATTGCAGTCGGGTTTGTTGGTATTCATTTACGAGCAAATATCATTGGGAATGCTATGAATCCACCTATTCTTCCCTATGGGTTAATTAGTTGGCGTTGTATCAGTAAATCATTATTATCGCCCTCAAAATTTTACAATCTAAAAATATTTTCTGGCTTTAAATTACATGCAAAGGGTTGATAAGCCATAAAAATCAATTACTCAAAATAGTTGTAAAGGCCTGAACTGTTGGAGTCCGGTTCTTAATTCTTTTATTGTGACCTTTTCTTATTTTTCTCCCGCATTCTTTCTTTCATTCTTTGCTTATTTTTCTTTTTCATTCTTTCTTTCATTCTTTGCTTATTTTTTCTCCCTCATTCTTTCTTTCATTTTTTGCTTATTTTTCTCCCTTATTCTTTCTTTCATTCTTTGCTTATTTTTCTCACTTATTCTTTCTTTCATTCTTTGCTTATTTTTTCTCCCTCATTTCTTTCTTTCATTCTTTGCTTATTTTTTTCTCCCGCATTCTTTCTTTCATTCTTTTGCTTATTTTTCTCCTCATTCTTTCTTTCATTCTTTGCTTATTTTTTTTCCCCATTCTTTCTTTCATTCTTTGCTTATTTTTTCCCGCATTCTTTCTTTCATTCTTTTCTCTTATTTTTCTCCCTCATTCTTTCTTTCATTCTTTGCTTTATTTTTTCTCCCGCATTCTTTTCTTTCATTCTTTTGCTTATTTTTTCCCTTTCATTCTTTCTTTCATTCTTTGCTTATTTTTCTCCCTCATTCTTTCTTTCATTCTTTTTTCTTATTTTTTCTCCCCTGCATTCTTTCTTTCATTCTTTTGCTTATTTTTCTCCCTCATTCTTTCTTTCATTCTTTTGCTTATTTTTTCTCCCGCATTCTTTCTTTCATTCTTTTGCTTATTTTTCTCCCGCATTCTTTCTTTCATTCTTTTTTGCTTATTTTTCTCCCTCATTCTTTCTTTTCATTCTTTTGCTTATTTTTTTCTCCTGCATTCTTTCTTTCATTCTTTTGCTTATTTTCCTCCCCTCATTCTTTCTTTCATTCTTTGCTTATTTTTTCTCCCGCATTCTTTCTTTCATTCTTTGCTTATTTTTTCTCCCGCATTCTTTCTTTCATTCTTTGCTTATTTTTCTCCCTCATTCTTTCTTTCATTCTTTGCTTATTTTTTCTCCCGCATTCTTTCTTTCATTCTTTGCTTATTTTTCTCCCTTCATTCTTTCTTTTTCATTCTTTGCTTATGTTTTCTCCCACATTCTTTCTTTTCATTCTTTTGCTTATTTTTCTCCCTCATTCTTTCTTTCATTCTTTTGCTTATTTTTTTCTCCCGCATTCTTTCTTTCATTCTTTTGCTTATTTTTCTCCCGCATTCTTTTTTTTCTTCTTTTTGCTTATTTTTCTCCCTCATTCTTTCTTTCATTTTTTGCTTATTTTTCTCCTCATTCTTTTTCTTTCATTCTTTGCTTATTTTTCTCCCTCATTCTTTCTTTCATTCTTTGCTTATTTTTCTCCCTCATTCTTTCTTTCATTTTTTGCTTATTTTTCTCCCTCATTCTTTCTTTCATTCTTTGCTTATTTTTCTCCCTCATTCTTTCTTTCATTCTTTGCTTATTTTTCTCCCTCATTCTTTCTTTCATTCTTTGCTTATTTTTTCTCCCGCATTCTTTCTTTCATTCTTTGCTTATTTTTCTCCCTCATTCTTTCTTTCATTCTTTGCTTATTTTTTCTCCCGCATTCTTTCTTTCATTCTTTGCTTATTTTTTCTCCCGCATTCTTTCTTTCATTCTTTGCTTATTTTTCTCCCTCATTCTTTCTTTCATTCTTTGCTTATTTTTTCTCCCGCATTCTTTCTTTCATTCTTTGCTTATTTTTCTCCCTCATTCTTTCTTTCATTCTTTGCTTATTTTTCTCCCGCATTCTTTTTTCATTCTTTTTCTTGCTTATTTTCTCCCTCATTCTTTCTTTCATTCTTTTTGCTTATTTTTTCCCCGCATTCTTTCTTTCATTCTTTGCTTATTTTTCTCCCGCATTCTTTCTTTCATTCTTTGCTTATTTTTTCTCCCTTATTCTTTCTTTCACTCTTTGCTTATTTTTCTCCCTCATTCTTTCTTTCATTCTTTGCTTACTTTTTCTCCCGCATTCTTTCTTTCATTCTTTGCTTATTTTTCTCCCTCATTCTTTCTTTCATTCTTTGCTTATTTTTCTCCCTCATTCTTTCTTTCATTTTTTGCTTATTTTTCTCCCTCATTCTTTCTTTCATTCTTTGCTTATTTTTCTCCCTCATTCTTTCTTTCATTTTTTGCTTATTTTTCTCCCTCATTCTTTCTTTCATTCTTTGCTTATTTTTCTCCCTCATTCTTTCTTTCATTCTTTGCTTATTTTTCTCCCTCATTCTTTCTTTCATTTTTGCTTATTTTTCTCCCTCATTCTTTTTTTCATTCTTTGCTTATTTTTCTTCCTCATTCTTTCTTTCATTTTTTTGGTTATTTTTCTCCCTCATTCTTTCTTTCATTTTTCGCTTATTTTCTTCCTCATTCTTTCTTTCATTTTTGCTTATTTTTCTCCCTCATTCTTTTTTTCATTCTTTGCTTATTTTTCTTCCTCATTCTTTCTTTCATTTTTTTGGTTATTTTTCTCCCTCATTCTTTCTTTCATTTTTCGCTTATTTTCTTCCTCATTCTTTCTTTCATTCTTTGCTTATTTTTTATTTTGGTCACTTATCGTCATTTATTTCTCATTCATTCATTCTTTCTTTCTGTTTTGATTTTCTTCTTCTTTTCTTACATTTTCTTTTAATATCTTATATTCTTATTTATTATTTATTACATGCAAAATGTTGATAAGCCTTAAAAAATCAATTATTTTGTCTATTTTTCTTATTTTTTTCGAACATTTTCTCGTGTCTCTCACAATTTTTAATTCGTTTTTTTCTATCCATTTTTTGAGCTTTTAGTTCAACCGAAAATCAAGTTATACTATTTTGCATCGTAAGCTGAAAAAATATACCACAATGCAATTTTCAAAATCTCAACCAATCGGATTAATTCTTTTGGTATCTGCCTGGTTCTGACCAAAAGACCGCCAAAATCGTACTTGGCAATTTTCCTTGGCTTCCTTCACTGATTTTACGATGTGTCGACGATTGATGAGTTATTTAAAGTCAAATTTTGTATAGAGTATAGAATTCACTATCCAGGCTTCTTTCTTTTCTTCTTCTTTTTCTTCTTCTTTTACTTCTTTTTCCTCTTCTTTTTTTTCGTCTTCTTTTACTTTATCTTTTTCTTTTTCTTCTCTTTTCTATTCCTTCTTTTTCTTTTTCCTTCTTTTTCTTTTTTCTTCTTTTTCTTTTTCTTCTTTTTCTTCTTTCTTTATTCTTTTTCCCCGTTTTTCTTTTTCTTCTTTTTCTTTTCTTCTTTATATTTTCTTGTTTTTCTTTTACTTCTTTTATCGTATTCTTTTTCGTCTTTATCTTTTATTTTATTGTTCTTCTTTGTCTCCTTCCCCTCTCCATCCCCCTCCTTCTTCTTTTCCCCCTCCCTCTCCTCCTCCTTCTTCTTCTTTAAGTGACTCGCTGCTTTCCACTCACTCTCCTTTTACTAATATGTTACAGAAATTTCCAGCGTCTCGTTTTGATTTTATTTATAATTGTTCGAAGACAATTGTTCCAGATTATTTAAAATTGGTAAAAACATGGTAGACGCGCTGTTTTCTTCCGCCTTTTTACTGTTGAAATAGCTAAATGCAACCGCTACTTCTACTCCAACAGTTTCTTTACTCGCACTTGTGGAACTCTCTTCCGATTTCTTGCTTCCCTGATAACTACAATCTTCAAAAATGTAAAAGCAACGACAATCGCCATCTTCTGTCTTCTTGAGTCCTGTCCACTTTTCTCAGTTTATATTTTTGTGTGTGTCTCTTTCAGATGTGCAGGGTGTGTAACGGCTAAGAGCACAGAGCGAGAAATCGGTGAGCCGTGTTCGAATTCCGGTTGGGTTCATTATATTCACTTTCGTAAGAAATACCATTGCGAAATTCATCTTATCCCCTCCAACCTATGGGTCAAATATAAGAGCAGAATGTGCAGAAACCCGAAATAGTTCAAAACTACGGATGATTCTATCGGAGAGCAATTACCCAGAATTTTGTTGACTCCCAACGGACATTGGATACAACGAAGGTGGATAGATTTCTCCCGATGTCTTAAATATTGTTCCATATTTACCTACACAGCGCATGGTCGATTTCACATGGAGTGCCGATACGTATCCATAGAAAATTTGTCCAGACTCAACGACAATTGTTAAAGTATTCCGACTTTTGTACAGTAAGAGAGGGTTCTGCGGCAGGGTTGGAATCCCCGGAACCAAACTCCCTAAAAGCCTCAGTATTTTTGTCTATTTCCGATTGTTTTTGCAACTTCAGCAACTCCGCGTGGGGGTAATTGTTAGCTAGGCTAGCCTGGTTAGATGTTCACTCGGTGTCCCACACAAAAATTCGAGATTAAATAACACGAAAGGGCTTGGCATATCAGGGAATCAGCGAGTCAAATTTGATTCCGTTTCAATTCTCCATTCTCATTTGATAATTCATTCGTTTACCTGAAATCAAAATTACCTCCATTCCTTTTTCTGTCTTTTCTTTGTTTTTCTCTTTCATTTTGTCCTTTTTATCTTTTATTCATTAATTTCTAATCTTGTATTGTGTTTTTTTTTTAATTTTTTTTTTCATTAAGTCATTCTTTTTAAATTATTGATTCTTTCATTCTTTTTTTTCTTTTTCCATTTCACGTTCTTTATTTTAATAATCTTTCTTTGTTTCTTTGCTTTGTGGTACTTACTTTCGTACTGCTTTTACTTTTAGTCATACATTCTTTTTACTCATCACTTTCATTCATTATTTGTGTGTGTGTGTGTATGTCTACAATATGAAATTTTTAATACTGTGTGTGTGTGTGTGTGTGTGTGTGTGTGTGTGTGTGTGTGTGTGTCTATCTGTCTGTCTGTCTGTCTGTATGTCTGTATAAAATATGTAAATCCTATCTTCCATTTTTTCCCTCTGGGAGAACTACCCAAGGTGATCTTCACTGAACTATTTAAAACTCATGTTTTCGTTTTGGTTAGATTTTCACTTTTTCTTTCTTTCTTTCTTTATTTATTTATTTATTTATTTATTTATTTACTTATTTCATATTCAAATTTTTCTTTTCGGCCTGTATACTCTGTTTTTTGTTTTCTTTCTTTCTTTCTTTCTTTCTTTCTTTCTTTCTTTCTTTAAAATCTTGCCCACTGTTCATTGTCTTTTCTTTTCTCTTTTTTTTTTAGAATCTATTCTTCCTTTATGTTTTTTTTTCTTTCTTACATTTAAACTTTCTTTCATTCTTTCAAACCGTTATTCTTTCTTTTCGGCCTGTATACTTTTTTATTTGTTTGTAATCAACGTTTCCTTTTTTCGTTGCAGTCAACGACTTTTTCTTGATTCATGATCAACAAATTTCGTTCTTTTATTCTTTCATATCATCCTACTTTTATTCCTAATCAACACCTTTTCATTTATTCTTCCTTCCTTCCTTCCTTCCTTCCTTCCTTCCCCTTCCATCCTTCCCTTCCTTCCTTTCTTCCTCCCTCCCTCCCTTCTTTCCTTCCTTCCATTCCCTTCCTTCCTTCATTTCTTCCTTCCTCCCTTCCTTCCTTCTTTCTTCATTCCTTCCTTCGTTCCTTCCTTTCTTCTTTCCTTCCTTCCTTTCTTCCTCCCTCCTCCCTCCCTTCCTTCCATTTCCTTCCTTCCTTCCTTCCTTCCTTCCTTCCTTCCTTCCTTCCTTCCTTTCCTTCCTTCCTTCCTTCCTTCCTTCCTTCCTTCTTCCTTCCCCTTCCATCCTTCCTTCCTTCCCCTTCCTTCCTTCCTTCCTTCCTTCCTTCTTCCTTCCTTCCTTCCTTCCTTCCTTCCTTCCTTTCCTTCCTTCCTCATTCTTTTTTCTTCCTTCCTTCCTTCCATCCTTCCTTCCCTTCCTTCCTTCCTTCCTTCCATCCTTCCTTCCTTCCTTCCTTCCTTCCTTCCTTCCTTCCTTCCTCATTCTTTTCTTCATTCCTTCCCTTCCATCCTTCCTTCCCTTCCCTTTCTTCCTTCCTTACTTCCTTTCTTCTTTCCTTCCTTCCTTCTTTCCTTCCTTCCTTTCTTCATTTCTTCCCTTCCTCCCTTCCTTCCTTCCTTTCTTCCTTCCTTCCTTCCCTTCCTTCGTTCCTTCCAACTTCCTTCCTTCCTTCCTGCCTTCCTTCCTTTCAAGCATTTTTCTTTCTTTCTTGTCGGCCTTTATGTTTTTTGTTTGTTTCTTTCTTTTTTCTTTCTTTCTTATATTTAAGCTTTTTTCCTTTCTTTTAATAACCGTTTTTTATTCGTAATCAACTTTTCCTACATTTGTCCTTTGCCCTCAACGTCTTTTATCTTCATTCTTAATCAGCAACTCATTCTTTCTTTCTTTCTTTCTTTCTTTCTTTCTTTCTTTCTTTCTTTCTTTCTTCTTTCTTTATTCGTAATCATGTCTGTCTTCATTTGTTATCAACGATTTTTTGTAATCAACGCGACTTTTGTTGGTGATCAACGTCTCCCCCCTCTCTCTCTCTTTCTCTCTCTCTTTCTCTTTATTTGCAATCAATATCTCTATTTCTAGTTAACGTCTCTTTCTTTCACATTTGAATAAATGCACATTTCTTCTTCCATACTCGATACCTCTTTATTTTCTTTCATTTATTCATCCTTTCTAGACAATTTTCTTCTGTTATTCTTCCATTCTGACCTGAATATCCAAATTCTTCCCCTCCGCCATTCACTCATTTCTTCTTGCCATATTCACCTAAGCTGACCTTCACCGATGCATTTAAAAACGCGGAAAATATTTCGATTTATTGCTGGCTTTGCTAATTCGAGACTAATGTTTTAATATGTCGAGAGTCGTAGCATTCTTTACATTGGTTTACAGTTAGGCTTCATTCTTTTCTCACTTGTAGGCACTTACATAATCGATGCTGCACTCGTATCAAAAAACAAATGGAAACAGTTATATTAGCCGTTTCCTTATAAGGAAACATTTGGTATTCATTGACCGAGCAGCTTATACTGCTGCCGGTTGAAATTTCTAAAATCTTTTTCTTAAAATAATTTTTCAGGAAAATAGATTTCTCAAGTTCTGTCGTTGTTATCGCTTTTTCCACTATTAATGGGGGTTTCCTTCTTAACACTTTACAGTGTAACCCGGATATAAGAGAAACCCGGATATAAGAGAAACCCGGATATAAGAGACTTTTTCTCCTGTCCCGACAACTCTCTTATATCCGGGTTACACGGTATTTGAAGTAGTCTGCAAAGTCAATATCTTGCTTATTTCTTTTTTAATTTTTTAAGCGTTTCACCCCAAGCAAGGCGCGTGTGCCACTTGCTCACAAAGGGTTACAGAGAATGAAAGTAAGAGAAAAGGAGCGGGAAATGAAAGGATGAAAAGAAGGACAGGATCAAGGAATCTGGAGATGTCAATTGACATTGCATTTGAATATTTGGAGATTATAGCTATCAGGGAAGCAAGTAAGAAGAAGGGAGTTCCACAGGTGGAAAGTATGAGACACGAAGCTATTGCAGTAGAAGACATGGCTACATTTAACCGTTTTGACAGTGAAAGGGTGGGACTGAGATACCAACCTAGTAGCACGTTTAAATTCATGGAGTTTGGGAATTAGCAAAAGTAGCTCGCCGGAGCAGTTACCATGAAAGTATTTGTAGAAAAGACAGAGAGAAGCAACGACACGTCTGTGAGAAAGCGACCGTAGAGATGCCAAATCAGGACCAATGACATGGCATATCTGTCTCTAGATTTTGTCGAGGACCGTAAGACGAACGGTGGGGGCTCCAGACCATATATGACAGCAATATTCCATGCAAGGGCGAATGGTTGATTTATAGATTTGAAGGATGGATTCAGGCGAGAAAAAAAGTCTGGCGCTACACATAGAATCAACTTTTCCTACGGTAAATGTATATCAATATTTTTCTCTTCGAGTTACATATGACAACCATTTTAGTTGTTGCTGTTGTTGAAAGTCCTCTAGTGATACGGTTTCAGTTTCTGACACAGTTCTTTGTGTTTCTGTAGCGTCAGTTCACAATATTCGACAAAGGATATCTTCGCCAAAGTCCACACGTTTCACTATCTCAAAGCCATTTTCAGCTATCGATCTAGAAAAGTGATTATATACAGCTGATATTTGAGATATTTCTGAGAGGGTTTGGCCCCATGCAATAACAACCATATAGAAGACTTGATCTAACAAAGCTATTTCAGAACATGACTCGAGTTTTCAGCTTAATATTTCGATTTTGTAGCAAATGGAGGTTTTATGCAAAACTACCCCTAGGTCAGAATATTATAATTTTAAATTTTAAATTTAAATTTAAATTTTAAATTTCTTATACTAAATTTTATATAACTGATCCACACACCAAAGTATTTAAACTGTTTAGATTCATGTTACTGGTAATATTAACTATTCCCTTATAAGGAAAGATTCCGGATTCATTG